TTCTCTGAGAAAAAAGTCAGAGAAATAAATAATTGAAAATGATAATCGTTTGTATAATTGATGTTGCTCGCTCGGAAATTTTAGCATTTCAAAAATGTTTGCATTTAAAATTCTTATTCTACCGTTTTATTAGATTCATTCAATATTGTAATGCAAAAAAACACTTATTTGTATTGTCAGATACATCTTTCATATAAAGTTCTTTTCTTCTAATCATACTATAGATGATACAAGCCACACGAAGCGACACCTATCATTTAATTCTTCGTTTCGTTGGTTCAAGCATCATATTACCGTGCTATACATATTTATTATAATCGTTGAGAAAGCCTTTGAGCACATCATTCCTTCTCTGAAGAAACTTTAGTATAGACAGTTGACTGTTTTCTAAACTTAGAACTCAATTCGTTCATACTTTTCAGTATTCGTCCTATTCTGACTTTGCTAGATCAAAAACACCACTGTCATACTGATTGACACTCAGAATAAGACTCTTTCTTCGCATCAAATATCAAAGCCGCAATAAATAGACTAGTTAGAATCTATAGTAAAAATTTCAGATTCATAGAATATTTTATAAGATTCTGCAAAATTCGAGAATGACCAAGACACTTGTTACTGGCGCACTTTACCGTTGACAGGAAAAAGTATCCTATGATTGCTGCCTCTTCTCTCATTACTGTGTAAATGTATTGTATAATCTTTGGGTCCCCACCCGCAGTTGCTAGGGCCTATATGGATGGGGTTGCGTTGGGGGAGTCATAAAAACCTCGGTTCAAACTTTCATTCACTATGCTTCATTCGAAAATATATGTGAGTTCTACAAATAATCGATTTCTACTATAATGATACCATCTCAATTTAAAATAATTTACATAGGGGTTCCAATTTGATTGCGTTTGTGTGACTTCAGTTCGGTAGCAATTTTATAGCTTGCAAACACGAACAATCCAAATAATCTTGGAAAATTAGCGGCTTTGTGTTCGAATCTGGTGAAAAACCCACTTATCTTCAACATGTATGATTAAAATAGATTCTTAATCGCAAAAAATGCCTAATATAATCGAAAATTTTCCAGTTTTTCTCACCTGGGTTTTTGCTTATTTACTTCGATCGAAATTTCAACCAACAATTTTGTTACTGATTCATTGCACTCTTGACAAAAGAAAAATTGATAACTTGAATATTGAATTCACGGTAGTCTTTTCTATAAATGTCGTAATATGACAAGTACTTTCTACTCAATATTGAAAAAAACTCGCAATATATTGTAAAAGCTCTCTAAGTGAACATCTCTGATTTTAACACGTGTGGCAGTTCGAATAATCGGATTTTTCTTGTAAATGAACCTATATTTAGTAGAATCTTCTCCATTCTGAATAATCAACTTTGTTTTGATCTCCAATAGCAAGGACGATCTTTGCACAACAAACATCTTGCAATGGTGTTCACAACTGTTTCGAGAGATGTGTCCGGATTGTTTGAGCCCTAAGCTCAAGAAAATTTTGGAACTTAAATATTCATCACACTTGAGAAGGTATCAACCGCAGTAAAACAGAAGTCTAAGAGCGCATGGAAGTCTTCAAACTCACAGAACTCATAAGTGACGGAGCTTTGGGATTAAATAAACTGAAAAAAATCAATGAGCTCCAAGAATCGAAACAATTAAAAGCGATCTCACACTTCTTAAAACGCATAAATTTTGAAGAACTATAAGAAGGTGAGGGTATGGTGCTGGTTTGTGGGAAGTTTCTCGCTCTGGAGCATCAAACGCATCGATACCCGCATCAAAATTCACATCCGCACATACTCAAACATACACCCACACCCATTTCGATAAATAGCAAAAATAACTGCTAATAATATTTAAACAGATAGATACACCAAAACTATTATTCGATCCAAAAAAAAGGCAGATGACCATTTTTCGAATCACTTTTAATAGGAATGAGATAGAGAGCTGCGATTTTCACCATTCAAAATAGCGATGTTTAGGCCATTGATCGGTAGAGAACTTATTAAGACGAAAGATGCTTTTTTATAGGTACTTTGGATGAATTCTTTTTCCTTAGAGGATTTTCATCGATTTACACAATAATCTCAGCTCAAATTATTTCAAAAGGCAGTGCAAATCAAGCTTTTTCCTGTATAAAATTATCACATATTTCAGTATCTCTCAACCTCTTATTCTAATCGAATTTTTAAAAAGCAAATATTAATTTTATAGCGAAAAAAAGGGTGATTTAAGCTACATTTTGGTATAATTTCAGTTGAGATTATTGTCTAAATTGTTGAAAATACTCCAAGGAAAAGTGTTAATCCAAAGGTACCTATAAAAGAACATCTTTTGTCTTCATAAGTTCTATACCAATCGATGACCCCGATATCGTTCTTTCGAATGGTAAAAGCCGCAGCTCTTTATCTCGGTCCTATCAAAAGTTATTCGAAAAATGGTAACCTGTCTTTTATTTTGGATCGGATAATAGTTCCAGAAACTTTAATTGCCAACAATTCGTCACTTTGTTGCATTTCAGTTCATATAACCCTAGCAAATTGTTTTCTATTTGCAAGTCTTATTGAAAAGTATGCGAAATGTAATTATATGCAACTTATTTCTGTTAAAAGCGAAGAAATATGACTAACTTCATACTTGTTGAAATAGATAAGATGAAGATCGAGCTCATTTTTGAAGGCTTTTCATATATGAGAATCGTGGTTTTGATTTTCATATCTAATCTATTTATAAAGGAGACATACTTGCTTGAGTTTATGTTCCTTATATTTTGAGGTAAAAAATATGCCTAGAAGGTATCCGTTTTCTGTGACATGCCAAGATCTTGGTCGATGTTGTGATACAATGACATATACTGTCATTATATTTTCAATAAGATGGATAGAACACTTGTAAAACGAAGCTCATGCTATTTTTCATGACCTGATAGGCATTTAGTGCCTCCATATGACGAACTAACACTGATTTGCCTTGTTCTAACATAGTAATTGATGTCGCTCATTCCATGTATGGGTTGTATTTCTGACAATGGCGAATTGTAGGTTTCCGAGACAGCGAGTCTTACAAAAAATCCCTTTTTTCATTTTTTTTTCAATACAGCAAAGTCAACTTCAGTTTCGAGCAAAGACTATATCTTTTTCAGATGATTCTTCACATTATATCGATGATAACTATCAGTAACTCCAATGAATTGTATACAGACATTGCAAAGTGAAAGAAGAATAATTGATATATCGAGCTAATCAATAATACGATAGTTAAGTTCGACAGGTAATGTGAGAAGACATGAAGTAAAATTATTTGACATAGATACTTGTTTTACACTGAAATATGTTCGTGTTGTAATGGCATCTTAATGAATATCTCTTATTATTTTGCAATCACTTATTTCGAATGAGAACCACAGACGTAAGGTATTAGCAATGAAATATGAATATTTTCCGTGATCGAATTCAATCTCATATAGGTTTTGTATTCTTTACTTGTTGATAATGCTTTGTCTTTCAGAATATTGAAGCAGCATATAGACTGCATCATTATTTAATTGCTTGAGGTTTTATTAATTACTTTTACAATTACATAAAAGCAAGTACACACGTTCTACTAAGAACGAAAATTTTTATGACATAGAATTATTAAATTGAATATTCTTCTACGTGGCAATGATTTCATGTATCTCACATACTGAGTTACTACACAGGTACAATCAAGAGAGATTCCAATCTAATTGGACACAGCTGATACCACTTGTCATGACTATTATTTACTACAAACGAAAATAATATGTATAAAGTGGCGTTTTTATGCTTTCTTTTTGCATACGACATCATTTTCTATAAAAATAATAATTATCCATTGAGTATTTTTTCTTCATCTCGTTAGCATTTACTACAAGAGTTCTGCGGGACCAACTTTTCTTAATTCCCGTTTTCCATTCCTTTCATGCTTTCAGAATTACAATTAAGGTTTCGTTTTTTTACGTTCGAGAAAAACTATCATTATAAGACATTGGTTTCTATCAACATTGCACTTTGTGCAATGTGAGATGGCCTTAAATTACAAATAAAATTATGGTTGGAGATAGGTTTTATTAAAAAATTCAATAATTATTTATACGTCGAAATTTATCAACGTTAAGTTAAAAGAATTATTCCGTGATCAATTGAAAAGAGATAAAAAGGCGAAAATATTCAAGAAGAGAAGATAATAATAATCCTATATTGCGAGATAATCTTAATACTAGTTCTTTCTAAGATAATAGTCACTAAGAAAATAATATTTATGATAATTTAATTACAATTTAATAAATAATGAATGATATTGTCTAATTTTTGTTGATAGGTAATTGTTATTGTTTTAATTGATAAATTATGCAAAACTCTTTGGAATACTATCGAAATATATTTCTCAACAATGTAAGATCAGTTTGACTTTGACATCTTTTGTTTGAAAGAGCACAGTTTTGAGCGCATATGCATAAAAAACAATAAAAAAATGTTTTTTTGTGAATAGTCATTTTTAATACCATATTTGTTCCCGAAATCTTCACGGGAATTCCCATTCCTGATTCTCATGTTACCCGGGATCGAAAAATATGAGAAAAAAATCGTTTCTGCCCAGCACTAATAATAAAACTTGTTCACATGCTTTTTCGCAGTAAAAAACAATTCATAAATAGGCGCTTCTTTCTCTTGTACTCCCAAAAGGATTTTTTTCTTTCAATAAAAAAGAATAAAATTTGATTGATTACGGTTGGCATTTATTTACCTACGAGTCATTTTATTCACTTTTTTTCTTCTTATGTTTAGAAAAAAAATTGTAGTTATGTCAACATCACTTTTGTCGGCATCAAAGTGGGTTTTTTTCCCACTGAGCAATTGAGTATATCTTTCATAATGAGCTTCTTGGAAAAATCCGATCTACTTTCACATTATAATAAGTCCATACAAATTGTATTCTCATACACCAAGAGTTCTATTGAAGCAAGATGCCTAAACAACAATTTTATCAGCAACGATCTATTCAAGAAGCTCAAGATGCTGTAATGGATTACGAAGATGATCATTACCAAGAATTGTATTATTTATTGTTCAATCAATTATTAAGTAATATTAAAAGAATATCATTCGACAGAATTATTCAAGATAAACTGCAATATGGCGATACTGTACGCAATAACCAGGAGACACATTCTCTCGTCTGGCTTTACACAGCTGATCGGATGTTCGTTAAACCACTAACAATATATTCATTTCGTTTTGCTAATGCATGTCATCCCGAATTGTATAGAACATTTGAAACAAAATCTCATCATCTCTTTTCACTTGTAACATATCAAAGACATAAATACAATGGATGGTATAAATATGTGGGACGAGACTTGTTAAACTCTTTAGACGAATATTTAAATATCGAAAGAGTTGTTCAAAATCAAATCCCTCACGAAACAAAATTATTTATCAATCAAAAACAAGAACGATTAGATATACAATTTAATTTCGATTCTATCAACGAACGAATAGCAATCACTTTTGAACCAGGTTGTCCTGATCTTCTCATGCCATTCTAGTCAAATACTTTATAGAAATTTCTTAGAACTTATTGTCAATCACGTTTTATATTTTTTATAAAATAAACAAGAATTTAGATGTTGTTGTTTTCTCTTTTTTAAAAGGCATTTGTTTATAAAAACGATGAATAAAAAAAATAGAATATTTTTCTCAATATATGTACAAGTGTAATATTTATTATGATTAAGAAATGAGTCATTTTTTAGTCCATATTCGTGCGCTTGTTCATGATGAAAAAAAAAGAAATTCTAACGGCAGAAATCAAATGCTGACAAACGCAAGTTTTTGTATGAAAGATATTCCCTTCTTCAAAGAGAATTATAATTGTTTCTTATAAGTTTTCGTCTAATACTAGTTCTCCAATAAATATTTCTGTTAAAGTTTGAAAGTAAGTTTACATCGACTAAAGGTTTTTGTTTACTTCATAAATCTTGATTATCGTTAGAATTATTTAGCCTAACAGAAATTCTTGTTTTAGCTGGCTTTGAAATCACGGTGGATTCAGAAAAAAAAAGACTCAATAATTTCAAAAATATATTCAGACTAGCCAAAAATCTATAAACAAAAGTACATATGATTTTTCTAGTATTTAATCTTAGTTCGTTTTGTTTTTTGTATCACTGTACTTACTTGATTTATATGTAAACTGATAAATCTTTGTGATAATTATCCTTGCATATTTTCGCAGTCATTCCATTTTTATGGCAAAATTCATGATATTTATATGTATGAATATAAATTAAAATGCTTGATAAGTATGTAAAATTGAATAGAAAAATTGAACCATGCAATTATTTTCTTTTGATTTCTTTACTTTTTCTGCCAGCGTTATGAGATGAGGAAATTAAATATCGAATCGATTAATAATGACAGAATAGATATTTTTTTTTTCGTCTGTTTTCATTGATCAAAACACATCGACTATCACCGTTCGCATATAAAACATATTATCTCGTACGAGCATAAAGTTCAATCTATGTATGTGAATCAACTGATCCTTTAGTCATGTTTATTTCGGAGTTGCTGTCATCATGATGATGATGAAAATGTTATGAAAATCTGTATTAAGTAATATTAAAAATTATATCTAGTTAGCTTTAATTTCATACCCAAATCAATGATTCTAGTGTCTAGCTCCATGATTTTCTTGCTGGAAAACAGTAATGATTGTACCCGATGATCATTCATCTTCCTATTTTTTTCTAAAATTATTTAGGCAGAACTGGCTCTACATTATTCATCTGGGCATTAAAATATGAACACATCATGAGTAAAAATATGTTTAATAAAACCAAACGATACTTTTTTCTTTCTAAGCACGAATTATTCATCTTGTTATGCATATGTCTTTATGAAAAGTAAGTGAAAATCTTAAATAACTATTTAAAAATTGTGATTAGCAGTGATGTTGATCCAATATTGCATAGAGTACTGTACGGTATAGTTTATCAACAACAATTGCATTACCTATTGTTGAGTCTTTACTTAATATGAGTCGTTTTTCCTTCTCAATAATTCTATTCAATATTCGATAGTCAAATTACTATTGCATTAATCAAATCATATAAATCGTTATCATTAGTTGTTAGTTTATAATATATCATTATTGATCTATAATATCTTTTAAAGCATTACTTACATTTCAATATTGAACCAATCTTCATACACGTTTTTCTTTTATGCTAAATTTTGACATATTGAAATAGCATCAACGATAATATTATCGTCTTCAATAGCAATGATTCGATAATCAAGAAAAATGAGATAAACAAGTTCTCTTTGTATCGATAATGAAATTAGCTGATTACTTTATGTTAACAGAACCTTACACATTCACTATTATCTATAGTACAAAAAAACAAACCTTTCAAAAAAAAAGATCAGTTATTCAATACTTCATAAATTCTCTTACTGCAAATTTCGTCTATATTCATTCTGATTTATTATTTTTTTAAAGTTCGCATATTAAAAATATTTTGACAAGAATGAATAAAATTGATATATTCATTACTTCTTTGTTGTCATCCATGAAATTAACTTATTATTGTTATATACATATTTATTGTTTGTAATCAAAATGGTTCGTATGTTTATCTTTGCATTGTATAGAACTTATAAAAAAAAAATATACATTGCTTTGAAATTTCATTTCACCACGGAGAACAAAATGTTTAGAATCCATCAGGTTTATTTGCACTATAATTTGATATAAAATAACAGAAAATTTTTATAAAGATATTCACATTAATAAAAAGAAATATTGAATAGGAATATTTATCAATAGAATATTTCCTGACTGTTTTGTGCATATATAAATTTATTAATGACTTTAATTATTCGTTTGTATCAGAATTCACATTAAAATTTTCTTGTGTTTCATCAATTGTGATATGTAGATTAGTATCAATAAGTGAAGAAACTTCTGTTGTATCTTCAACTGATGCATTAGTTGATGATTCCATCAATAGTGTAGCATTTGCGTCCTTTTTTTTATAAGAATCAGACCATTGTTCAATTATAATTTTAGGTGGGACATTATTACCAAAGATCGAATATAATTCTTGATAAATGATGTGTGGATCAACATTTAATGCAGTACGAACTTTCACATAAAAACGAAAATTCTTTCCGTTACACTAAAATAAAATATGAAATTATTTGTCTCATAATTAAAATCGAGATATAAGACAAAAAACCACATTTTTTTTATTAAGATTAGAGATAGCTGTTCACTATAAATGACATTTACTTTAGTAGAAGGATTTCTTGAGTCATCCATCTCTTGACCTTCGAATAATTTTGGATTTTGATTTTTGAAATCAAGTGCCTTACGATAAAGTATACCCAAAATTGATTGAGATTGATAGGAAGGTTTTTTCATTAGAAAATCTGGATATATATTACCAACAATTTTTCGAATTTCTAGTATACGATCTTTATTTATTTGATATCCTGTTTTACCAGAATCGACTACAATCAATAAGTAAAATATAATATGTAGTTTAAGATGAAATTATAAACTCACTAGCAGCAGAAAACATCTCTGCCATTTCAATAGCTAATTTCTGACATGTACGTTTTGCATGATTTTCTTGGTTTTTATCAACAACAATAGCATGTAAATTATAAATTTCACCATAACTTGTAGCACCCAACAAAGACAGACAATAGTTTATAACATCATTAGAAGTAATACATGTCGAATTAACACTTGGTGATTGTGTTTTATATTCAAGAGGTTCAATTGTTTCAGAAAGTTGTAATTGTTGGCCCCAATAAACCTAAAAACAAAAATAAAAATCATTATAAATCGACACAAGAAAAAAAGAAACTTACAAAGTATTGATCACCATCAAGATCAGATCCAGCAATTTTATTACAATCTGGTCCTATATCAGATCATACTTTCAATAAAATCAAAAATATTTATGATGACTTACGATTGCCTTTAGTCGAAAAGACAATTACATCTTTGAGACAATCAAGTTCAGGTAAATCGACAGCTTCCAATTGCATAATATCGCCGGCATACGGACTAGAAATAAATTTTTATTTCTTGAATTGAGAAAATGAATCAAAACTATACCAAGGATTTTTTGTAATAATAACTGGTCCGACAACTGTTTTAAATTCTGGATTCTTAAGTGGTTTTCCATCAACATCAACAACTTGATACCTAATAAAACATTGTCCTGACTCAAGTTTTGATTCTAATGTACACCCAAACATATATCGACATTCATTCACAGGTAAAGGTAACTTGTTTTTAAGAAGATTTCTGTAGAAAAAAAGAAAAATGTTTTGTTAAATCGAAACGAATTGAATATATATTTACTGTTTATTATGTGGTGGTTGTTTTTTATTCATGAACCATTTATCTTGTAGTTCAAGAAATACCGAGTTGGGTATGCCAAGATCCGACAATAGTATAATGATTTGATTGTTAAGTCGAGTTGGAACTATAGTAAAATAAAATTGAACATAAGAAAACAGAAAAAAAAACAAAGCATACTCGGTCGACTTTCTTCGCATATATCTAAATCCCATTCATCATAGTCGAATTTATTCATTGATGGACGAATTTTAATGTAGAATTGATTTAAAGTCGATTCAGGATCGATAATAACAACACCTTTACAACCAGCCATTCGAATTTGATAAGCAGAGGGATATAATTCCTAATTAACAAATAGATAAAATCAAGAGAAAAATAACAAGCAGAGAAAGACACATACATTCTGTTCGTATTTAACAAGATAATCAAGTCGTTCAGCAATTATTCTTGCCAAACCTTTGGACATCAATCCATTTCCATCTGTGAAATAATAATCATTTCGTTTTATATCATCTATCTCTGTTACACACATATCTCCTTGTTCAACTCTTGAATTGAATTCTTGTTTATCCGAAATGTATGTAAGTTTAATCTTAAAAAATAAACATTTCACTTATGAAAAAGCTTCTAAAACTATTTACTCCAGTCGGATTACTCTTAGTAAACCATAGACCTAATCGTGCTACATATTTGCCAATATTAGTGATGCCATTACAATTAACTAATTTTTGTCGTTTTTGATGAGCTTCTGTTAGAGATGTTGCTCTTATAAACCAATAACTATGTTCACGTAATTGAGAATTCGATACACCAAGAAAATGGTAACGATTATTGCAAATTTCAATGCCTGATTCAAAAACATTTTTGAATTGATTACATTTATTAACATATTTAGCTGGTGGATCTGGTTTCAAGTATACAAGACAAAAATCATTAATACCATTGAAAGCTTTATGTCGAAGAGCACGATGTCCTTGTGTTGGTTCTAATGGCATAATACGTATTGAAGTTGGAGTAACATGAACAGCAGCCACGTCATATAATTGAGTTTTGTCCTTGATAAAAAAAGACATGAAAATTTTCATTCTGTACTTGCTAGAGGTAGCTTACTGGGTTTTCTTCATCTCTCTTACGAAAATCGTAGATAGCATTGAATTCTTCATCATTAAAAACAGTTGTTAAATCAAATGAATTATTTCTTTGAAGTTTTTTATAAACATGTAATGCCAATTGATAAAAACATTTATTATCTCGTTTAGCTAATTCGATCATGACATTTCGAAGATTTTCATTTGTTGAATAATTATTATCAAATACTGAACCAAGTGAATGAAGCAATTCAATAGCATATTGAGCATCAAATGTTGTATATTCACTGATAAAAGATTTCGACCACATTATCAAAGTACAATGAAAAAATATAACAGAAAATACGAAGAATAAAATTCACTTGTATTTATTATCTTAACAACATTGATAAGCCGAACATTGCACCTAGTGAGTCATACAAATTGAGTTGGAAAATTCCAAACGTCCTTAAAATAAGTAAAACCTACAATTCATTGATTATTTGGCATAACCAATGAATCTACATTAATGGCGACTGGGTTTTTTTTCATGAAGTTGCTCGGAGTGTTATTTTTGTATATCAATCGAACGGAAGAAAAGAATTGCACAATATGTGTGAAAGAACATTTTCTATGAAAATTTCAAAACAGAAATACGCATAACAACAAATATTTTTGCAAAAAACAGCGTGTATATTGTGTCTCGACAGCGAATCAAGATTTGACCTAAAGCTAATAGTGAGTGTGTCTCTGTTGAGTAATCAACTTTTAAATATGGGTATTATTTTCATTTTTGTTTTCTAATCCGTCTATGTTAATTATCATCCTGCACNGAATGCACAGTTAGCGAAAGAACACAAATTTCAAAATTGGGAAAAAAAGTCAAAAATATGAAAAATGTCTGTTTTCGTGAAAATGTCATATCTCAGTGAAAATACGTTCTTTTTTCAAAAAAATTTGTTTTTAGAGGTTTCTCAACAAGGGCTATCGAATACACATATCCATGGTCAAATTTCGAACTTGAACATGCTATGTGAATGCTCGATAGTCTCATGGACCCTCTCTTAAGTATTAGTATAATGAAGTTAAAGAAGACACGTGAGTTCTACATTTCAATGGCCGTTTAATGAAATTTGTTGTCATAAATTAGTATTAATTTTTGTGCGTGTTGGTTTTTTTAAAATTCATCTCGGAAGCAGTAATAGTACGATGGAAATGAGTGAGAATTGTTTTTTGTTGGTTCCAAGGAAGTGCTTATGAAATGTATTTGTGCTTGATTTATATAAAACCACCGATATATCATTTTGGTGAAGATCTTCAATAATCGAAACACATAACAACTATTCTCAATATTTGACTTTCACTCTTACTGTTCTCTGATGTCTACTGATGCCTTCTTATGGAAAAAAACATTTCGGTGCTTTCACTCTTTATCTCATTAATCTTGTTGGTCTCTGAAACTCGTCTAAGTGTCAAAATGTGAATCAGGATTCCACCAAAGATTGCATTCTTCTCTTCATGTGTTACTTTTTTTAAAACTTGACTTGAAAAATAAGCCCAAGAGAGACAGATGCTCACTGAACAAAAAAAATATTTTGGATACTACTGCTTGAATTTATCTCACTGTTTTCCATGGAAAAAACAGTTCTCATATGTGTGAAGTGATAAAAGGAAGCGATATCGAAGAAAATGGCACAATATTAGTGGCTATTTTAATGCATATCGTTCACTAATCTATGAATTTAGAACTCTTTTTTTTTATCAATAAATTCGTATTTTGTTGTCAATTATTCTAACAAAATATGTAAAGGACTACTCCAATTGGAATCATTCCAATGAATCTGGTCGTTTTTATATCATCGTAAAAGATAACGATTTAGGTTTAATGCTTTGACGAGTATTATAATCGATACAAATAACTATGTAATACTGTTGATGACACATATTAGCATAGACAATTTTTTCTGATGTGGTCAGCTGAAACGAACATGATGCAAAGGAAAGCAACACTAAGCTAAACGTATATTGTTGTGATAATCAAATTCTATAAAACCATTTTTAAAGAGGGAAATATCTTTACAACCAAAGGAATTAAGCAATTCATGATTGGAGCAGAAAGTAGAAAACTGATCTAACAACATAATTTGGTTTCTAATAACACTAATTCTAGATAAGGTGGTACATTCATTTGAGCCTTTCTTATTAATAAGAACAAACACTGAGTAGTTGTAACTGACGCATTTTCATTGCCTTGCTCCATTTCTGAATGATGTTCTATTGTTTAATCGTATGTAGTAAGTTGTTCTCTTTCTTACTTTTGTTTTCTTGTATTATTTAGGAAGATTCCGTTAACATAAAATAATTAGCAGTTAATGTTATTTTACTTTTGAATGAATCTGTAATATGATTTCGTACATGACATGATTTTACGAATATAGTATAATGAAACTTTTCGAATTCTTGTACATCAGAAGTCTCTTCATTTTTCTCTTAATCTCAGTTATTTGAGTTTTTTCATCCTCACTATTAAACGAATCTCTTTTCATTTAAGATTGCCGTAACCATATCATGTCATTCCCAGGAGAATGTTAGCGCACCATTTCTAATGGTAGAGTGATAAGTGCAATAATGAATTGAAGCAGCCATTTTATCGAATCGATAGATCATTACATTGATTTCAATATATGCTTCGCTTAATATTTTTGCCACAATCAATTCTACCACTAACAGCAATTATTTCGTGGGTAAAAACTTTTCTTACTTGTGTTTTTTCACAATATTTTCTTGGATAATACCAATATAGTATACATGCCCAATTTTACTCGTATGCAATAGTTGTAGACATTACAGGGACGGGTTAGTATAACTTTTATAGAGAATAGAATTTCGCAACTCTTAAAATAAAAATCATTATTCAATTCAGTATCCAAAAGTGAAATAAATGTGAAGCAAAAGATATATTCAACAATTTAAAACCCTTTAAGTATAAGTATAACCTAATCAGGATGAAATTTTCAATCGACAAGCATGCCAGTCTCAAAGCAGACAAGACAAGTTTTCTGAAATTATTGAATGTCAGTCTCGTTTTCCTTTGCTTTAGAGCTATGTCATCGAAAAGACTAGTGCCAAAACATTTAATTCAGTATGATTCCTCTTCCAGAAGTGAAAATAAAAAACTCCGTACTTACGCGTACTCTAACGATATGTCAAAGTTATCTTCTAGTATTCTTTAGTCATTTCAAGTCTACTATTAATATGTATCACAAATTTATTAGTTAAAATTCATTTTATGTAAGTCTACTTTACAACAGACCACAAATACTGTCTCTTACTTCTAGATTGAACTATCAACGAAGTACCATGAAGTGTTTAAGATTTATTGTTGCAATGACAAACTGGCAGAGTAACTTACTACGATTCGGGGTGATGTTGTTTTATGGATCTGCTTCAAACGTAACACGCATTTATGTAGAAGAGAGCATAACAGAGATAAGTTAAACAGGAAAGAAGAAAAGCAGATCAGCAGGTTGTAATGCCAATGTCGTTACACTCTATTCAGATTAGATATGCTCGAGAGTGTCTGTAAAATGTAGGAAAAAAAAGAAAACTAGCAAGAAGAAATAGTAATGAGAATAAAAAGAGCACAGAACACGCTAACAATTTCATTATATAAACTCTCTCAAGCCATGAAAAAAGGAACAACCAACATTGAGCAATCACACTTGTGTCAATCATTTACAACACATCTTCTCGGACTCTTATACATAATCACTTAACAATTTACATATTATGTAAAAAATTCCCGCAACGGTACAAACAAAACAACACGACATGACACATTAAATAGTTACTACTTATCTTTATATTTTGCATTTACTAACTCCGGAGTTTAATACGAAACAATAAAAAAAATGACTTAACGTATACGAGAAATACAGAGCAATATTGGTTTTCATAATTTCAATTTTTATAGCAGCATAGAAAGTACACAAGAATTTAGCTTCGCAAAATTCATAACAGATCTATAATCAATCATAGATTTTCGCACTTTTCTACTTTCTTGTAATATCATTACAAGAAATGTAAAGATAAAACGTATAACTTTCCGATGAGCGAGAAAAAAATATCAATCAATTACTTAATGAACTTGAGCACATTTTTTTTCATTAACTTAAAAAAACTCATAAATCAAAACATTCAGAAAGTCGAGTTCAGCACTTAAACGATGCGTAGACTTTCTAGCTAGTAATAAATCATTTGCAGGAAGTACATTTACAACAATATACATTCTTTTGATTAAGGTAATATAAAGAAGTAAAACTTCCGACGTCAACAAGACATCGTCATCGATGCTCATAATCTAAGATACATGTAATTATTATATTTTTTCTTTTTCTTTTTCATTCGGAGCCCTGCAAGGACAACATTATCCTCTCGCTTTTTGCAGTGTTCAGAATGGAAAAGAAAAAACAGAAAATAATAATTGTGTATATCTAAGATCGTAAGCACTGATGATAATGTTTTGTTGATGTTGAAAGTTATTACTTCTTTATATTATCTTAATAAAAAGAATACTTGTTGTTGTTAATCTATTTAATATAACATTTTTATTATTTATTAACTGTTTCTCGACAACTAATAATGTATCAATAAATCTTTATGATGTCTCGCGGTACTTTAAGAGAAAAATTATTTTGAGATATAGGAAATTTCATTGAGTTCATATCGCTTTTCTGAAAAAGATTTCGAATTAGAATTTTAGTTTGATAGTTCATTCGAAGACAGTGTAAAAAGTAGCTGAAACACAAAAGAAATGCAGGTGGTTTTATAGGTTTTGAGAAATTATCAATACATCGTCTTCGAACTAAGCAACATACTATTAAAAATAGTCGCCGATTTTTTTCTAACAAACATATGTAAGGTTTGTAAACTGACGTACTAATTATTTATGGATGATATAAGATCATGTTCATCGTCGTCTACATCAGTGTTTCTTATTTCTCTTTTGTCTTAAAAGAAAATGACTACGAGTGAGGTGAAAAATAATAAGCTGACTTGAATGATGGTGACCTGAAGCGTAGCAGTGTTAAAAAAGACAGTACGTCAGCACATGTTCACAATGCCCTCAGCACGAATAGTACTTTTATGCTTTCTTTAGTGTTCTGTGACAGTGTCGTTTGTTTAGTACTGTATCCAATCAGCATGTCGTAGTAAAACTTAACTATTCACTCTCGAAATTCTATTAAAATTTTAATGTTTCTTTCTGATTGACAGTTAAACGAAACATATTTTAAAAATGAATAAAGAGATTTTATTTCTATTACATATTTTTAGAAAACGATATATTTATGTCGAACATTGATCATCCTTTATCAATTGAATCTCCTAATGAATCATCAAGTATTGAAAGTGGAAAAAAATGGCATCGTCGCCTTTCAATTATTCGCGAGTCTGCCACAAAGACATCAATGCATGGCCTTCCGAAAGTTTTTCACAGTGAAAATATATACAGACGAATTTTTTGGGCAATATCATTTGGTAGTTTCACCGCGTTTATGCTCTTTTTTATTGTTAGAGCGATTTTAACTTACCTTCAATATCCAACACGAATAGATATGAGCACTGACGTTGAATGGCCACAATATTTTCCAGCATTCAGTATTTGTAATGTTGCATCACTTCGTTACGATCAATTTATAGGATCGTTTCTAAACTATACCAATGCATTGAATTTAACTTATAAAAATATTACGGATGTATTATCTTCAGTTCAAATTCGAAATTTTATACAATATAAAGTTAATCGAAATGAATCAGTTGCGCAATATTCATTCTCACTTGATTCGATGCTCTATCAATGTTTATACAATTTTATGCCTTGTTCAAGTTTAGATTTTGTTCCATTTATCTCATCAGTATATGGTTTGTGCTTTACATTCAATGCTAAAATGAAAAATAGTAGCGTTAGTATACGAGAAGGAAATCAGTATGGTAGCTTTGGTCAACTTGATTTAGCTTTTTATGTGCATAGTCAACAATATGTACCATATTTTGTAGATGGTGAGTAATCATTAAAAATATCAAATCGAATATTGAATTTCCATCTTTGTGAAAGGCATTGGTATGGTTGGTCTAGTGCATGACAATTCACAAGTACCATTTATTTATCCAAATGGTATAGGATTGACACCCGGACGGAAACACAAATTGAGTTTTAAGAAGAAGATGAATTTCTTTTTGTCTTCACCTTATACGTCATGTACCAATAATATACCTCTTTTGATGAAAGTAATGCTTAACGAGTATAATGATGCTGATTATGGTTATTCGCAACTTTTATGCTACGACCTTTGCATGCAAGCTTACATGTAAGTATATTTAGAAACAATTATTACACATATCTTACTTATGTCGACATACGATACTGTTACTGCAGATATGAACAATGTGGATGCATTAATCCTTCTTTATGGAATATTCGATACACTGTATTGCCAGGAACAAAAGACATCAACTTAGGAACCCTTTGCAATTACACTAATCCTTGTTATCGTCGAGTAGCTGATACATTCATGACATCATCATTAATCAAAAAGAAATGTGCGGATTGTACATCACAATGTTCTCTAATATCCTTTCCTCTTGATATATCTTCATTTACAGCACCACTTGAATGGCAGTTAGATGGTATTAAAGCATTTGTAGAAAATTCTTCAGTGCCATTGCCATTAGATTGGTCTACAGCATGGCGTATGCATATTCAAAACAATTATGTTGCTGTTAGTATCGTACGCGAAGCAGGTGTCGTCGATAATAATAGACAACAAGCACAAATGAATTTAGGTGACATTTTTTCGAAAGTCGGTGGTTTAACGGGTCTATGGATTGGTCTTAGTTTTCTTTCAATGATGGAGGTAATTGAAATGCTCTGGCGACTTATTAATTATCAGTGTCATCTAATTCTATCAGCAATGCGCAACAAAAGATAGCTAACAAGACAATGAAAAATTGTTATCGTATATCATTATTTATCAAATAAATGTAATATAAAAGGATTTCCACTGACAACAAATGAGATATTATATAGTTTTCTGTGAGAAATAGAATCCTTAAGTAAGATCAAAACTAATCGTATTAGCTTAATATTTTTGACTCACAAGCTCACTTCTACAACCGAACGTGTTTTCCCGTTAAATATCAAACAAATTTTTCACACGTACGTTGTTGCAAAATTTCATTAATAGATTTCGATCAAAAACGTATTTAAAAGCTGAAAAATAATTACAGGAACTAGATCAGTTCTAAGATCTTGATATGAAGTTCTTTGAGTAAATGGTTCGAAGGTAACTTGACATCCTATAATTGTTGAAAACAATTCAGCCGTAAAGACAGCAATACTTTAATTCGACGAATAAAAACTTCGATCAATTTGTGTATGCCAAAGGCTATTCATAAAAAGTTGATAAAAGATGAAAATGAAGGTAAATGAATTTTTATTTTAATAACGGGAGGAGGAAAAAAGTCCTATCGATAATTACCATAATTCAAAAGTTTTTCTTCAAGTGCATGTGAATGCCACGAGTTACGAGGGTTGTAGACGAAACACATGAATTCCTACAAGACAAATAATTCTATTCAATTGAAACTTCTCTATGAAATCTGGCAAATTACTTACAATTAGAAACAGAGCATCGTGAGCAACAGCTTTCATTTTAGCATCTAAATCCATTGGAACTAAAATGAGAAATCATAAGTATCATGAATAACTGATAGGATGGCATGGGCTCCTCATGTCAAAATCTCATCAAGTATTTTTGCTCAAAATTGTGATGTATTTAAAGAATTCTTAATAGGTCATATGTACCTTCACGAAGAAAAATAGATGTTTTTACACTGAATTGGCATCGAAAACGATTGGTTTTTTATCAGTACTAGAGAATTGTTTCTAGTTTTTTGTCATCAAGAAGATATTGACGCAATTTTTTTCTTGTGTGAAAATTAACTGCAACAAAGGTCTAAAGAAATCTCTATTTTTCGAACACTTTGATTTTTGAGAATTCAAAACTTAAATAAAAATGTATGGATTTTGACTCAAAGTATGTTTTGGTTATCTAATGTTCATTCAACAAAACTATTTGCATAATTTTAACTCAAATTCAGACTATTGGTTTTTTACCGATGATTCGCTATCGTGGGTTAAAAATGTAGAAAAAAGGCTAAAAGCAAGCTCCGAAGATTCATCCGTGCAAATATTTTTCAACATATTCTAAGCTCGTCGTTCGTAACTCATACTTGTAAATTGAGCTTAAAGTGAATGTCCATCTTAAGATGGTTCTCTATGGATTAGAAAAAGCGTATCTTTGTCCAAATTTCAATAGAAACTTGCTCTTCTTCAAACATTCGAACTATTTTCGTGATAAACTTCAAAATTGATCCACATATACATTGCTACGTATGATCTCCGCACCTCGTCAGAGAACTATAGTCGATGCATCTATCTATTCAATATTAGTTAGTTTATTAGTATTCCCAATATTGAAAAGCATAAAACGGTACATTTCTAAAGGATAACTCTTCGAAAACTAACTAACAAATTAAAAACAAAATCAGGCATCGATAAATTGTACACCTCAGTTACCCTAAACAATTGCGAAGATACCGATGGAAAGTATCATAGAAAAATGAAGCATTGCTCTTGTACTTTCTAGAATTATTCTTTGACAGAACAAAGATAACAGCATGCATTTCAATATGGTTCCGATGATTGAAAACACAGAGAAAAATTAACACTGAAAAACATAGCGAGCTCACACTTTTCATGTGAAACCAGTGATTGATGTGATATTTCAAGGTTTGCACAGCAACTATGATTCATATATATAGTAGTAGAAAATATTTGAAAATGTTGACTCTAACAAAGATCTTGTTTAAGAGTTGTTTACACTTCTGTATGCTGAGATTTGACTCTGATCGAGTGGCAGTGTCTTCTGAAACTTTAGAATTAGAATAAATATTAGCAAGAAAATTCAAAAAGCAAAACGAAGCCTATCTAATCAATTTTTGTCTCAATTAGACCACTAGCTGCTAAAACTCACTTATCATAAAAATGTATCAATTCACGATATTTAACCATACGAAATGTGTGTCTCTTTCAAATTTCATTCGTGAACCAATTAAGATTTAATAGAAAAAAACCTTCGGTTATGTTTTCTACCGTAAGAATGTTTGAACAAAAATAAATATGAAGTTCTAAATGAAAGGCTAGACTTCATCTTCAATTCTATATTTGATGATGTATAGCAGTGTCATCGATTGCCATATAATATATTTACCGTCCAATGTGAATGAATCAGCAGTTGTAAAAGCCTCACTGATAAAGCCAGCATATTTTTTACGAATGCCACCAATCTTTGTGAAACCATCAGTACCATAAATCTAAAAATACATCAAACGAATGTTCAAAACAGTTTTAATTGTAATTTATTTATTTCTACAATCTGTCAAGATTATTATAGGACCTATTTTATACTTGATCGGCAAGAATTTAATGCTTATCATTAGTAGATCTTCAAAAGTTCGAAAACAATTGGCACTAAATAGATTTCGTTCGAACAACAAGAAAAATAGAAATTTTCACACTCACACTCACTAGTTTTCAAAAAATTATATGTTAATTATGACGAATCGTTGTAGCTTTTGAAACGTCACTGAACTTACTGCGAATTTGTTATCACAACAACAGCTACAATCTCCATCACAGATACATTGAGGACCGATAACGCTCATCACATTTGTACGGTTGGCATCTCGTAGAGTATATCGCATTCGACATCGAATTTGTCTAATTAAAAAAATAAAGAGAGACATATGAAAGAAGGAATAATTGTGTTTTGAACACTGATTACTCATGATTAACACTTCCAATAATAGTTCCTGGTGGTGATTCTATTATGATTTCTTGTTTACAGCTCTCACAATCGCCACACCAACAGCATACACAACAACATTTCAATGCACGTGACATTCGAATTACCTCCTAATGATTTGAAATCAATAGAAATGAAAAAAGGTAGAATTCATTCATTTTATCTTACGTTTTAGAAATACTTTTCAAAAATTCTCTTCCAAATTGCTTTTTTATTTTTTTCAAAAAAAAATCAGTTTGATGTAGTTGAGGACGCTACATTACAGTGTTAGCAGGGGCGTAGCCAAGGGAGGGGCAAATGGGCAATTGCCCATTTCATTTGGAGGTTTGCCCATTGTAATTTTTCTTAGTAAATTTTTGCCCATTGAAATTTTAGATTTTCAGCATTGCTTTTTTTTCTTTGAATTAGATAGTAACTGTATTTCTTTTCTTCCGTCTGAATCATACATATACTCTTTGCTTGTCCTTTCTGTGAAAAATTAAGCAGAACAAAACAGAAAAGAACAACAAACATGACAAGTGTACAATTGTATGTATATATACTTCTTCTTTTCTTTTTTTTTCTTTCATCTTTTCTTATAATACTGATACGGACGAAGAAACAAGATGATAAACTGGACGAGATAGGTTATAGTTCATCTTCTTCCGTCTGACGTGAGTATTATAAGAAAAGATGATAGAAAAAAAAGAACATATATATACAATTGTGCACTTATCATTCTGTTGTTCTGCCTTAAAAAAATATAAATACTAAGCTATGTCGAATGAAAAGCGACCCAGTACTTTATTTAACTACAACTTTTCTTCCAAAAAAACACGTACTGGTACAGAAAATTTAACACAAGATTCAACTACACCTGCAACTACAAGTGCTACAGTTACTATAACAACAACTAATGATAATTCNGTTGGATAATTCGTTGGAAGCGCATCAGCTTTCGAAACATTTCCATTTTTTATCTAACAAGTACCACCATTCGACGTTGTCCATGTATAATGAGTGCATTGTGGAGTTTCCGAGCATTTTTCGCCACATAGCTCTGCTGAAATTTTCACATGATACAGATCGTTCCCGTAGAAAGCACAGGACCTAGCCCAATACTGTCCATTCCATTGAACGGTAGAATTATTTTTGCTTTGCTGGATATCTTCTCTCACACCGCAAATCATAGTTGGATCATTTGTTAAAAATGCATCGGTTTTGGAAGCATTCCATTTTTTCATCCAACAAGTACCACCATTCGCCGTTGTCCATGTATAATGAGAACATTCTTGAGTTTCAGAGCATTTCCCACCACAGAGCGCCGGTGAAATTTCTACATGAGATAGATCGTTCCCATGGAAGTCGCAGGACCTAGCCCAATACTGTTCATTCCATTGAACAGTGTTATCCGTTATACCTTGCTGGATGTCTTCTCTAACCCCACAAATCATACTTGTATCATTCATCGGTGATGCATCAGCCTTGGAAACATTTCCCTTTTTCATCCAACAAGTACCAGCATTCGACGTTGTCCATGTATAATGAGTGCATTGTGGAGTTTTCGAGCATTTTCCACCACATAGTTCTGCTGAAATCTCCACATGAGACAGATTATTTCCGTGGAAGGCACAGGATCTAACCCAATTCTGTCCATTCCAATAGATTATCTGATCTAATATATGGAAAACATTTATCATCATCTCTGTTTGTAAAAAAAACGATCGTTTTTTGACAGATAATTCTGAGATTCGTTCGATCACTTAGAATTATAGAAAAATTGACTTTGTCAGAATGAGTCTGATGAATTCTGTCAAACAGTGAAATCTAAAGTTCAGAAGTGAGAAATTGAAACCAGGAAAATCGATTATTTCGCTTCTAGTTGAACGAAATCGTCTCTCAAAGTGCTAATTTATCTCGATTGACAAATGTTTGTATTATGTTTGAGTGCATTACGTTACATTAGCTAGAAGATCAGCTGGAAAATCATTCCACAGTAATTTTTTTCATAAAACTATGAGCATATTATTATATTGGTCAATGTGTTTCGAAAAAAAACCTGAGGATTTTATATGTGCTTAATCGAGTCATGATTTACAATACTCGTATTGATATACAATTTTATTATTATTGTGGGCGTGTTACTTCGGATTTTTCAAGAACCGATAATGATAACAAAAAATGCGACATAATGAAATGAGTATGTGTAATCAGACAGTTGTAAATTTCATTGATCGCGAAAATTTAGTTTATTTCATAAGCATAGCTAGGAATGATAAACTACTTTTTACAATAATCTTACATGCATGCAGATATTCTAATTATAATTAATATCAATGAAAGAAATGCAAAGCACACTAACCGTTGAATCAGAGAATCCTAGAATTTCACTATTTTCTTGACTTTATTTAGTGCAATCTATTTTCCAGAGAGCATATGAAACATAAGGAAATTACAAACTCAGTCATACAAAGCATTATGAACACTACATTTCATCGGCTGTATAACTAGTTAGTGTCAGCTGCCATTCATGGAAAATTCGGTAAATTTACATCTCGATACTTCTATGGACAACTGCTTTATGCACAATCAATTTGAAAGCCACAATACATTCCTCATTGAGCTGTATTTTATTGTATACAATCAATTTAGTACAATACGAACGTCTATTTTTAAACTATTTTTTTTAATCAAATATTGATAGGGATAGTTCAAAAATAGAAGTAAGACGTCTAAAGGCGAAAGTTTTATCGTTTTTACGCAAATTAAACAGTTCGTCTATTTACAGTGAACCTAACTTCTTGATATAGCATTTTTCTCTTTTTTGGGATCACCATACCACTATTTTCCATTTGGTTTGAATATATGTACAAAACAGTCTCTTTCCCAGCCACCTTTTTATAGAATAAGTGAAAAGTTGAAAGATGCACTGCTTGCAGAAAGTTGTATGGCTTAGTATTTCGTAGAAATGTTTTTTTTCTGGAGAATCTATGTCAACAATATGTTCATTTTGGTGAAAGCGAAGAGTAGTAGTTTTCAGAATGAACCATTACTATATTTCTAATGTAAAAGTATATTGAACACTATACCTGGTGTTCCACTGATATATTTTGTTTCTCGAATAGAGCCAAGAACAGCTGCCACGATGCATACCATCACCAAGATGCAAATTGGAATCAAAAATCTTTTCTGAAAATACCAACGGCGACTTGACGATCTAATAAAATCGATCGAAATCTATCTTGTTCAATTAAATTCACTCGCTTTATTCTATTCCAAGCTACTAAGAAGTAACTTGATCACAATTATTGAAAATCAGTGTCTTACTCAAAAAAATATATAAAAAACCTGCTTTGGTAAGCAAAATTTGTTCCAACTCTTCAAAATCTTAGTTTTTTAATTGCTGATCTCAGAAGCATCATAGTTGCTATTTCTTTGAAATAACAGATGCAGTTTGAAGTATTATAGCACATGGTGTAGATCAGTGGCCAATACGTTTCGAAAAAATTTTATCAAAGCCATTTTGTAATATCAATTTGATTCTCGAGTTGCTAATGGTTTCTTCGCCAGAAAACGTAGGATTTCTTTTTGGATTGTATCTTAATTTTCAGCATATATCGCAGTTGGTATGATGGCGAACATTCATCATTCTACCCTGTTATTTAAACTTTTATAGAAAAAAGTCGAATATTTTCAAGAAAAATTCTTATTATCCTTTCATCACCTATGAATATGGTAAGGTCTGATAAATTTGAAGAATGTGACAAAAATAGTTCGATTGCGAATAACAAAATGGTTTTTATTCTCTTTCTTCGTGATTGTCTATTCATTATTTTTCTAATGATTTTATTCTTGTAACATTAATAACTTCAAATTTTTTTCTTATTAAAGGTCCATCAGTATCAGAAATCATCGTCAATAAGAAAACTGTATACTTCTTTATTTTCATCCAAAGAAATCTAGATTTTTGAGACTTTCAGACAATCTTATAAACATCAACAAGTCAGAGAAAGGTTATCGAAGACTCTTTTGAAAATGTTTTACAATCTTGACAATGAATCTAGATTTTCAATTTTAGTGTTCCATTCGAATTATAAATTGTATTCGTGAGTTATAAGCATGCTATTTGATTATATGATTGGATTCATACTATTGATACACCATGTTTCGTATATTTACTCATGTTATTGAAAAGCAGTATAGTAAAAAGTATGGTATGGTCTTCATATGAACCTAAATTCCCTCACGAGCGTGCTATCTTTGATGAAGCAAGATAAATCAGGACGAAGCTTACTTGATTTTTGGGTAAAGGCGAGCACCTGAGAATAGACATACTTCTATTCAAACTAAACTTTTGACAATCATCAATTTATCTTCGAATGGAGATTCTAATAGTGGTTCATTCGGTATTATTTGTTTCAAGTGAATGATATGAAGATCAGGCGCTGGGTCTAACAGTGATTGTACTTCCATGCATGTTCCCGGTAACAGTAAAATCTCTTCCTCATCATCAAAGTAAGAATGAGCCCGTATATTTCTACCATTCAATACTTCAATAGAAAATATGGTTCTCTCTCCCATTGTACCCAAATAGAGATCATTCTCTAACACTGATAATGATTTGGTGGTAGATGAGAAAGCCCACCATATAACTTGATCTCCCCTCTGAAACTCATTGGTAATATTCTTCTTCAAACCTCGCCATACAACCTGTGTTGATGAACATGGTATTTTAGTCAAGGCTGTAAGAAAAAGTTTAAGATATTTGAGCCACGGTTGTAATTCTTCTTGATCACCTTTCCTAAGAGCATAATTAAGATGGGAATAAAGACTTCCGTTTGTATCATCATCCCACTCCATTGTGTAGAGATGAATTGCAGCTGATTCATCACGAGTCAAATTATCAGGTGGATAATCTGGAATACGTTGTAGAGCCATCGAAGCATACTTAAGAATGTCGGGAATAATGAGTTGTAACGGTATGCATACATCCAGAAGTGGAAGTATGTGCTCTTGAGCATAACCAATGAAAGGACACAAATTGATTTCTCGAAGATTGGAATCTTCTATGAGTAGGCGATGGTTTTTTCGATGAAGTTGAACGTCACCGTCGTTGATCATTATTTCGTGTCCACCATCTTTAAAAATTTTCTGAAGTTTATTGATTCTCTCGAACATTGTTTTGCTATCTAAAACAACAAAACTGGACATACTATTGAATAGACTGATGGTTGGTTACTGAAAGACTGCTTCGATATTAGAAAAAATAATCCAATGCAAACGTGTCACATTCGAACATGATGAAATGAACAGCAAAATAGTGTAGTATAAGAGTAATGCATAAAATATCATTGCTTTATCTTTTCAAATCGTCTAGAAGGTACACAAATTAGTGGTTATTTGAATAGTGTGTTTTACTATGTGAGAAAGCCTACAAAAGAATCTTAGATTTTGAATATCTAGGCTATTAGTCATTAATTCCAGAAAAGTAGAAGCATTAGTTCAAACCATAATATTTATAGATTCCCCCAATAACTTGGAATCATTTCTCTCCGCACAAACCAAGGATTTCATCGGAATTCACAATAAAAGCTGGGTTAGATTCAGACTCGAGATAGTAATTAAGATTTAACAATCTACATTCTATGGAGAAAATTATCTATCAAATCTTCTAATAAGACAGATGTTATTTCATGCGCTTTTTGCATCCGAAAACATTTACCATGCCTTCTAGTCAAAAGTAGAATTAGGTTTTTTTATCAAAGACTACTAGGATTAATAGACTAATCAGAAAATGATCATGTACTACTATGTCTATTTGGGAAATATAAGCCTCCATTGTATCATTTCCGTAACTAGAATCTCGATGGATACCTTCAATATCAATGAAATATTGATAAATCTTAGTAATCAGTACTGCAAAGAAAACATAAAACTAAATATGAAGAGTGTTAATAAAGTATACGAACTATTGAATAATGCATTTGTTTGTACTATGCCCAAGTATTAAGACAAAGAATTTTTCTTTTTAAATGCCAACAAGTGTAAGTTGGAACGAAAATAAGTAAATATCTTACAAATATCCAATATGTTTGTTCCAGCCCTGAAATTGGACCGATCTTATGTGGAAAAAGTATCTTAATTGTTTTAGTTACGGTTACATCTATTGCATTTGGCCATTAAAACCAACTCGAAAATAGAGAAAACAGAAAAAAAGTATTCAGGACTGAAAAACTATTGTTTCGAGAACAGAGAATTTTCAGCTTTTTTGGAAGAAACCGAATCAGATCAGGTTTTTAACATGTTAAGAGGAATAGCGATTGAAAATAAGCCAGAAACTCATTTATACCTGATGAAGTGGTCCTGTAAAACAGACAAAAATCAATATTGGTGATCTCCACTATCAGAAATATTGAAAAAATGAAAGGAATTAGCGGGTAATACACCAAAAGATATACTATGCGTAGAGAAAATCAAAATCAAACTTTGTTGAACCATTCTGTTAGTCAAAAACAGTAGAAGATAACAGATGTTTTTTTACAGTTTCTGATGATTTACTCCATCCTTTCCACTTCAAAATATTGCTTTCATATTTTCCTAATTTCTTGATTAAGTTTCGTCAAATGATCTGTGGAATCAGCTGATAGTACAATAGAACAATATTGTTTTTGAAGGGATGTCAAGGGAATACATGATACTTTATATTCCATACACTAAAAGGTACTTTACTGTACTTTGACATACTTTAAAATATTTCAACGTTACTTTTATATAGCTCAAGATAATTTAAATCACATCCTTTTGCTTTTGCTTCTTTTGAAGTTAAACTTGCTACTTCGGTTGAAATTATACTAATTCAATAAAAACTATATGATAAGCAAACGTAATACATAGTGCATTACTCAAGTTTCTCATGGCGCCCTACAACAAAAGGACTGATCCTGCGTATTAATTGTTAATATTGTATTTTCTATTATTGACCATCATTGATGGAAAATACAACCTTTAAGCAACAAAAAAGCATTCCTAGTAAAACGAAACTAAGCCTAGGCACTTAGCCGTACAAAAAGAGTTACAAAGTGACGGGTAACTCAAAAATTCATTACCACAGTTTCTGGATAACCGAAAAGTATTNGAGTTGGAACTATAGTAAAATAAAATTGAACATAAGAAAACAGAAAAAAAAACAAAGCATACTCGGTCGACTTTCTTCGCATATATCTAAATCCCATTCATCATAGTCGAATTTATTCATTGATGGACGAATTTTAATGTAGAATTGATTTAAAGTCGATTCAGGATCGATAATAACAACACCTTTACAACCAGCCATTCGAATTTGATAAGCAGAAGGATATAATTCCTAATTAACAAATAGATAAAATAAGGAGAAAAATAACAAACAGAGAAAGACACATACATTCTGTTCGTATTTAACAAGATAATCAAGTCGTTCAGCAATTATTCTTGCTAAACCTTTGGACATCAATCCATTTCCATCTGTGAAATAATAATCATTTCGTTTTATATCACATATCTCTGTTACACACATATCTCCTTGTTCAACTCTTGAATTGAATTCTTGTTTATCCGAAATGAATGTAAGTTTAATCTTAAAAAATAAACGTTGCACTTATTAAAAAGCTCCTAAAACTATTTACCCCAGTCGGATGACTCTTAGTAAACCATAGACCTAATCGTGCTACATATTTGCCAATATTAGTGATGCCATTACAATTAACTAATTTTTGTCGTTTTTGATGAGCTTCTGTCAGAGATGTTGCTCTTATAAACCAATAACTATGTTCATGTAATTGAGAATTCGATACACCAAGAAAATGGTAACGATTATTGCAAATTTCAATGCCTGACTGAAAAACATTTTTGAATCGATTACATTGATTAACATATTTAGCTGGTGGATCTGGTTTCAAGTATACAAGACAAAAATCATGAATACCATTGAAAGCTTTATGTCGAAGAGCACGATGTCCTTGTGTTGGTTCTAATGGCATAATATGTGTTGAAGTCGGAGTGACATGAACAGCGGCCACATTATATGATTGAGGTTTTTCCTTGATTAAAAAAAAAATTTGAGAATTTTCTTTTTCTACTTTGTATAGGCAGCTTACTGAATTTTCTACATCTTTCTTATTGAAATCGTACATGGCCTTGAATTCTTCATCATTAAAAACAGTTGTTAAATCAAATGAATGATTTCTTTGAAGTTTTTTATAAGCATACAATGCCAATTGATAAAAACATTTATCATCTTGTTTAGCTAATTCGATCATCACGTTTCGAAGATTTTCATTAGTTGAATAATTACTATCAAATACTGAACCAAGTGAATGAAGCAATTCAATAGCATATTGAGCATCAAATGTTAGAAATTCGTTTATAAAACATTTGGACCACATCATGAAAATACTGTGAAAAAGTATAACAGAAAATACCAAGAATAAAATACAATAGTATTTGATATCTCAACAATATTTATCAGTCTAATATTGCACCTAGTAAGTCATCAAAAATGAGTTGGAAAATTCCAAACGTACTTAAATAAGCAAAGCACAAAATTCATTGATTATTTCACATGACCAATGAATCTACATTTCGACAGCTGGCTTTTTTTCATGAAGTTGTCCAGAGTGTTATTTTGTTTTTTTTTTGTCTTGCAATGACAAGGAAGAAAAGAATTGCACAATAGGTGTGAAAGAACACTTTCTATGAAAATTTCAAACAGAAATACACATGACAACAAAGATTTTTGCAAAATACAGCATGTTTTTTCGGTTCTCGATAGCGAATCAAGATTTGACCTAAAGCTAATACTGAGTATGTCTCTGTTGAGTAATCAACTTTAAATATAAGTATTATTTTCATTTTTGCTTTTTATTTTTAATAGTAGAGTATGCATTTTACGCTTGAATCAGAACAGATATTTTTCGTAACTTAAACTTAACTATGTGCAGCATGATAATTAACATACGCGGATTAGAAAACAAAAATGTAGATCAGTCTAATTTGAATAAGTGTGAACTTGAGGTCAATAAAAAAAAAAGTTGATAAGCTATGAAACTAGGATCTGATGGAATAAGAAAAATGCTTGAAGAGTAAATTGATCAGTATTCTTTATAAATATCTGCTTCTTGTTGTTTTAAATGTATTTTCAAAGGCTATAAAACTTGTCATAGATTATACTTCTGGATGAAATTTGCCGATTATCATTTAATTTTTTTTTAAAGTTTATTAGGTAACTTTTTATTAAAAACATGATAATATCCGTTTCTTATAACATATTCTATTAAATTTCATACTTCGTTTGTATGATGGGTGCTTGAAAACTTTTTATATATTTGTTAATCATTATTAAAGTTATTGTATTGAAATATATCATTCCAATTATTAATTATTTCAAACATTCAAGACCTATATCAGAAAACAGCAATAGTAAAAAAAAATTCAAATTGATCCTCTTTTGACATAGTGTTCCTTTTCAAACGATTCGAAATGGAGAGTTACTATTATGAAAAAAAACAACCACAATGTCTTAGATCATTGTCAATGGAAATATCATCAAGTAGTTTCATTGTTTCCTTACTTCGAATAAACACAGTAGTGATCATTTTCATAACAAAAAAGTGACGAAATAATAAATAATTTTTTCACTTTGACTCTCAACGATTTTGTTTCTTTGCTATTTCATGTTTTATTATTTTTTTCTTTCCTCAACTAATACACAATGAAAGTGTTTGCGGTTACTTGTTTTCGTTTTTCATTTACTTATTCTTTTCTATTTCTGTCTTTTAACATCAAGGGTATGGATGCGGTTGTGAGTGTTAGGATGTGGATCTTTTCTTAACCAACCTCTGTAGCCTATCTGATACATAGATCCGCAAGGCACCTAGTGATATATGCCGCGAAGATTTGTCTCATCACCGTCGCTTCTTGCCAAAAATCGTTTTGAAATATAGCTTTACTAAATGTTGTAGAACTATTCTACTTTACTTTATCTCCCTGCGGAAGTTATACCCGAAATGGAAATGGGCCTTTGCTCGCTTTTGCATTTCTTCTTCAGGTGCAGCTTAAACGTATCGCTTCTCGTATTAAACATGCTTTTGAAAAATGGGCTTCTGGCCACAATCACGCTGCTAAACCTGTTAAAATTTTTCACTCAATATATGATCTTTTCGTTCTGAATATCAACGTAAAATCAGGAACATCTCGAAACTTTAGTCAATGCCAATAAAAATATTATTTCAACTAAGTACTAAAGCAAAAGTCAGAAAGCACATCTAGGATTGACTGCTCCTGAAATACGACCTAGGGCAAGCATTGAAGAGCGAGCGTGAGTGAGTGGCTAATCTCCAATTAGGAAGGAGAAAACTAATCCAAAAATTTGACGTGCTTTCAGAAAAGTTTCTTTTTCAATTTAAATAATGAAACCATCTTGTGGCTTTCTAATGACTGCTGTTATAATTCTCGATCGGTTCTCTAAGCAACTCTTGTGTTTTCCTGTGAATGACAAGAAAGTGACGCGTTCAACTCGAGTCAAATGATGGATATAAGTGCATAAATCAACTGAAATTAGTACGGAACAACCATTAAATATCTAATCAAGTGGTGTCCATAACTTCATTTCAATATAGTAAACGGTGATATTGTGGAAATCTCCAAATAATCTTACTCTTCTTTTTTTTTCTTTTTTACCAAGTGTAATAGTCGAGATGCAAAGAAATTTTCTGATATGCCACTATTGAAACTTATAACATCACAAATTCAAAACAAATTCTAATATTCGATTATACGTTTTCATGTCTCAGCATCGTTTTACGGATCTCTGGTACGTATTCTCGTCTTTAATCACAATTGCTTGGACGTTGTCATCAATGTTAACACTTAAAAAGCATCTCCAACAAAATTGATAGGCATCGTTAGAGAATTAACGTTTAGGGAGCAAAAGTCGCATCGTTAAGGAGAGGAGAATTTTAACTATTTCTTCGCTGTAAATATCAGTAGCTATCAGCTGTTTAACGTTGATAATGCATCAACAACCTTCATCCAAAAGATTAATACTATGATTGACTTTTTTGAAACAATTTCCACGATCTATTGACCGAGAAAGAAATAGGCTTAGCAGTCACTATAAAAACAATACTATATTATCTGATAATTAATTCCATGTCAGTCTTCACTGCAAATGTTAATCAAACAATAAAAATGGATCTTAGCCTTTATTCCGTAGTCCTTATGCATAGGTGTACAGTCTATTCGAAACAGGACAAGAATGTTATTGGGTACTATTTCTTATAGGAGAAAGTTCTTAACTCTGTTACCTAAAATGAAAATCCAGCAGATTTCTGGAAACAGGAACAAGAATGTTGTCGACATCTCTCACAAACTTCTATGGTGTTGGGTATCACTATGGTATCTGTCATTGATTAAATTGAAATAATGCAGGATTGTTGGATTAAAGTTAAATCATCTCTCGAAGTCAAATTATTTCTAAATTAACGTTTCAACCAACTGCGTTTCTTAATTTACAACTAAACTTCATAGGAATGATCAGGTCACAGTGAGAAACATTTGATTCAGTATATTCAATAATGCACTAAAGTTGTTTGTTCAGAAAAATATAAAACTTCATCGTAATCAAAGCTAGGACTGTTACTCGAAATTTCTTCGAACTTGTGAAACTTGTCGGTTTTTTTTAGTTTAATGTTTAAAATGACTTAATTCGTTGTAGAAATTCATATTTCGAATAACAAAGACTGTAGCAAGCACAAAAAACAAGAAAATCTACATGGGCAATTAGATTCGAATATTCTTAAAGATCAGACAAGTCAAAGATGAAAATGGTCTCAATTTTTCATGGCCGGCACCGGTTCCATTTCTAAGGATCATTATTTCATTTTGAGCGGAAATTCTCTGGTTACTTTATTCCAATTGATTGTTTCAAGTAGATCAATTCTTATGATTTTCATGAATTCTGTGCATGAGTTACGAACCATTTGGACATAACTCATGCAAGCACTCAAGTATGTGTCTATGGAAAGAATATCATGTGAGATGGACACATTTTGATGTATGTGCATGTCAAGCACTTTAAAAAAAGAAGTTCGACTAGGTTGTTTTCTATTTATGCGAGTGTTCATAGAGTGTTTCATAGATAATTTTCTAGAAAATCACACAACGCAGTTACAAATAGAAAAGTTAATAATTGAAAAGAAAAAGAAAAAAAGTTATTAATAGAACATCGAGAGATGAACGAATCTTTCCACATTCGTTCGTATCGAAACAATCGAATAATTGAGTCATAATGCTAGTCGATGCTTGATAAACTCTCATGGCATCAGCGTCACCTCTAGTAATATCACCATTGGTAAGTAAGATTACTCCTATCGTTCGGTTCTCATTCGCCATCATGGAATTAGTAAAGCCAGGTAGTGAACCTCGATGTCCAATCAGATGACGTTGACCTGATTGAAGCCAAGTCCATATAAGACCATATTCTGCATCTGCTTCAGGTGGTTGACTCTGTCGACCATAAACATGAAGGATTTCATCCATGGACGATTTTTGCTTCAGCAGTGGAAAACCATCCTTCAAAAATGATTGAAGAAATATTGCCAATGTGCGACCCGACATTCGCAGAAGACCTGATGGATAATTACTTAAACTGAAATGTGGAATATAGAACCAGTCGGAAGCATTACCAGCCTAGTAGAATAAGTCATAGCTTTAAAAAAATGTTACTAAACTGTTGAAGAATCTTTTCATTGTCTTTTCTAGTAAGATGTAGCATGCAGTAGTACTTCAACGAATACTCTATCAAGATATGATTGAAAACATATTATCTTACTTGAATAGGATTCAATTGTGGTACCATGCTTTGATATTGTGAAAGGAACGATGTATTGAATATGTAATGCCCCACAAGATCATTCTGTCTGTCTTTAAAGTCATTTAACCGATAACCAGCATCGTTTTGCTGAATGCCCAAGGGTCGAAGAATTCTCTCGTGTACATACTGCTCAAAAGACATTTTTGTGATGCGCTCCACTATTAAGGCAGCTAAAGATGCTCCTACATTGGAATACAATGCTTTAGTGCCAGGCGGTTCCGGTAGCCAATTGCTTGTTTTACTCACAAACTTGTAAATCACATCAGAGAGATTGGTTCGCGTAAAATCATCACCAGGCAGATACATCTCCTTCAATTCTTCGTCAAAATTTGGTCCAATACTGGTCATATGTGAAAGAACATTTCGCATGGTGATGATAACTCCGGGATGAACTGGATGCGCAATTCTTGGCAACGAAGATAAGTACATATTGATATCTTTATCAAGATCGAGTTGTTGAAATTCAACAAGTTGCATAGCAGCATAGGCAATCAATGTTTTAGAGATCGAAGCGATGACGAAAATCGAATTGGAAGAGCTCATTGGCAAATGTGGATTTGTCACAGCAGGTGACTGATAGCCGAATGCTTGATCGTATAGAATACTGTCTGAATTGACTACGATAGCAACAATACCAGAAATGTGAGCTTCCTCAAGAGCAAGTTCGATCGATGATCTTGATGGAGGACATTCGGGAGCTCCATTGACTACTAAGATAGCAGTTGTGGCAAACAAGAACAAACTGAAATGCATGTATTTTTTTTTTGCAACTACGTACGCATCGTGTTACACTCTTCTGACCTTTATATAAGGGACCTTGTAGGTGATATCGCATTTACACAATGACTTACATTTGCTCTATGAATGCACATATCAACAGAATCACGCGAGCTGTTTTTATTTGATGAGTAATAATTCATTGACAGAAAGCAAATATTTAGATTTCAAAACGCTTTCAAACCATAATATGTAAATATTTTCTTGGCTAGATAAAATTTGTTGGATATTAGAGAAGCTTTTTTTCTTCTTGCCGATGCATTGTGAGAGTTATAACTGGTTAACTTTTTTGACCAAAAATTGAATTGAGTTATAACGGTCAACAGTAATCATAGCTTTCAACACTAGTTATAACTATCAATCATTTTAACTCGATTGAATTTTTCAATTTTTTAGTAGATTTAATTAAATTGAAATAGTAATTATTTTGATTTAATGAACATGTTTAATAAAATAAATTAAAATATATATCATTGTTCTTTACTTTAAAAACTTAATTTTTACCGGTTAACTGTAAAATTTTTTTTTGTATATTCAACTGCAAATGACATTTTCTCATATTTATATGGTGAATGTAAATGTATGTGTAATAGAATATATTTTTCGTTGCATGAACAATGATAATTTATAAAATGTGAGCAATTGATAATAGTATTTACAAATTGAAACTAGTGTATTCTCTTTCTTATTCTCAAAACGGTAATCATCTTCAATATATGTTGAGAGACAATTTAAATAATACTTCCTATTAGTATAATCATGTGTATTATATTTCTGTGTAGAAAAATTAGGGCAATAATGAGATTTAAATAGATAAAAAAATGATCATAATCAAAAATAACCGACAAAAAGAATCAAAATTTCATTGATTATTCTCTAATTAACTTCGATTATAATTCATTAGAAATTGTGAAAAAAACATCGATTTTAATTGGTTTTTCTCTTTGTGATAAATGAAAAATCTTTAACAGATTTACTTCCAATTACATTAGTTATAATCAGATTTTTCCATAATTTTTAATCGAAAAAAAAAATCAGAATAATCAATGAAATTTTGATTGTTTCGATTCATTTTGGTTATAACTGGTTACAAAATGATTAAAAATAGTTTAAAAGCATATGATTTTAATCGATTTTAATCTGACTTTCATTATAATTTTTTTACATGTAGAGTCTTGAATAATGTTGAAAAGTGTATTGACTAATAAGTATAACCGACTTGCTTTAAGTAAAGTGGAACACTATAACTATGATCAAAAGTCAAATCTTTGATTGAAAGTTATAACAATGTCAATATTCGACCGATTTACTCTATTATGAAACTCTCAAAGACATACTTTTTATTCAAAACCGTGTATGCTTGATAAATATATGTTCAGTAAAACTGATTGTAATTTTCGTATTTCGTTTGTAGCTGTGAACACAGAAAAACTCTTAATTTTTCACAGTACAGAATTTCATCGGTTCATATATTAGCGACGGATAACTACGAGAAAGCATAACTTCCAAATGAATACATGAAAACCTTAGAGAATAATTTGTAAATAGTAATTTTTTAAAGTAAAAAACAATGATATACATATATTTTAATTTATTTTATCAAACATGTCCATTAAATCAAAACAATTACTATTTCAACTGAATGAAATCTACTCGAAAGTTCAAAACATTAATCGATTTTAAATAGTTGATAGTTCGTACCCAAGGTATATTCATTTTAATCTTTGCTGCTTTTCTTCACTATCAACGGTTTATGAAAAACAGTTTTAATTTTCGCACTGTATCAGTGATAGTATTATCGTCAATAATCGACGATTAGATGTTCAAAAGTATTTATTATCATTTAAAGAAGCAGTTGTGAAAGATGGCACTGAGATACCAATGTTATTGACAATAATGAGGCAGCATGCTGAGACTATACACTATTATTTTGTACGAACATCGCATTGATATTCATGGGTGACGTTAACCCATCGTTTGCATAGGGTGGAACTTAGAGCTCCAATTCAAACGTTTAGTTATTCATATATTTCTACATGGAACTTAATCACAAGCACTATTAAACACTGCTTGATGTACGATCCCCAGTATTGATACTGTAAGACTTCGTAGTATACTCTTCCTTAATCTCATTCAGAGTTGCATCCGGTAAGGTGAGATAGCCTACCCAGTTCGACACAGGATTCCTCTCTAGTTAGCAACAATCTTTTTTGAGTGGTTATCTCTGTAAGGAAGAATGCAGCGGACTATTCGTTTTAGTCGAAATTCATTATAACATATTCATCGTATACAATTAACCTATTGATGAGCGGTGGAATATATATGTACTGCCGCCTGCCAAGTGGTTCATTAATAACGTCTGCTTCTGACGAATTGTTAATAAATGTAGAAAGTTGATATAGAATTTATAGTTTGATGAAGTTTTCTGTTGGCCAATGGATACCAAGCGACAAAAAAATCTTATGAAAATAAATAGAAAAAAGCTTCGGAAAATGACTAATACTGGTATACTGGCCGGTTCAACTCGGTTTGATTCTTTCTATCGATAACGGTTTCAGTAAGGATAAATCCTAAACTGGTTGTGGGTATGAGCTTCGACTATGCGTGAAACGAAGATTCATCCGCATCTACAAGTGAGTAAGAATTTGAATATCGAGAAGTACGCGTGCGTTAATTCTCGGACGGTTCTCAGGATTCTAACTATTTAACGTTTATTTCTGTACAAGTGCGCTAAATATTATTTTCGTACTCAATAGCCTAAAAATGATCACCAATTTGAGTTCTACAAATACTAAAATGCTCGTTGAAACCGAAAGTTATAGGTAAAAATTCAGTTTTGAAGACTTGATTTGTACCAGGCAACAATAGGCGTCTTGTATGTGAAATAGTGATCATCTTGAATGATAGACTGTATGAAGAATGTTACAAAATATCTTTTGCATCAAAATGTTACATCCACTTTGATTATCACACAATATATTAATAATAATAAAAATCAGTTAAATGTAATGAAAGGATCTCTGTTAAGGACAATTTTCTCGGTTAAGAAAATATGCAACGAGTTATTTATATGTTATCGGGAAATCCGTTTTGTCTAAGCGCCAATTAGGTCATCGATTTCCCCTGGATTATAATCAACAGTCTCCGTGGGTCGAATAAAGTTACCAAATTGTTGGTCTAAGTTATTGTCGGGATCGACTAAAGAAAAAAGAATGTTTTGAATATTGAAAATTGCCACGCTCAATCCACGAAAGAAGTAGTTTTTGTTCAATAAACAACTCCGTTTCGTCATGTTTTTCTACTCAAATAAAAGATTTTATACTTACACTCCTTATACAATTGATCCAATCGTTCGTAGATATCAACAATATGATATTGATCATTTGATAAAACTATTTTGAATAACTCTTTGTAGTAGGTTACAGCCTTTTTATTGTCACCATTTCTTTCAAGTTCTCGCCCAAGCCCTAACAACCGTTCTGGATCACAAAGTGTACCAATAAATGGCCGAGCAATTTCATTTAGAGCTTCATTCAGCTCTTCTTTTGTGATTAACTGAAGTTTAACGGAAGAATAATCTGATTCTGATTTTTGAACAGACTGAACAACAAACGGGGTATGCCAGGAGAATAAGGTTTCACGATCATCACCTGTAGAGGAGCTCTGTGATACGTTAGCAAAAGGCATGGCAGACTCTTTTCCACCATCTAAGTTAACAATCTCAACCAAAATATCTTTTTTACACTTCGAGTAGCGATCGTGATGTAATTGTGAGGCAGAAAGAAAGGAGTTAAATGAGACGAGACCACCGATATTGCTACTTAAGTCAATTAAATTAATCAATTCTGGATCATGAAACAAGTGTACAACTGATTTATTGGAGCGTGGCGTTGTATTTTGATGCCTGTGTAATATTGCCAAACAGTGATAGAGATCAGCGATGTAAAAACGAAAATCAAATATAGTATCATTATTTTCTGTGCGAAACGACTGATTGAGTAAGCGATAGACAGCAGACGTTCGAGTATACCACCAAACAGCTTTATCTGGAGAGTAGTTCTCATGAAATTGAGTGATTTCTCGTTTAGCTGTTATATCATTAGTATATAATTCTGCAAATTTCGACAATGTTTCATCAATTTCTTGCACTGATGGACGAGCCAAATTCAGAATTACACCGACCATGAGTTGATGCCAAAGAAAAATGAAGTTTTCTTTACTCACTGAATCCGGACGACATGTGCGAATTGTGATTGCATTGTTTTCCGATCGTAAAGATTCGATCGATGATGAAACAGAATTGCAGCACGCCGTTGCTAATAGATTCTGTTTTAAGTCATCAAAAACGTCATGGACATCATCATCATTTTCATTTTCTTCGTCTATTGTATAAGTAACATTTATTTTCGGCAATTCATATGATACATAATGACTAAGAGTATGATTATCAACAGACCGGCACGTCAGCAAAAATAATTTGTCAAAGTATAGTCGTTTGATCTTTTTGATCGCACGATTTGGGTCTGAATAAATTTTCAATGGTAAACTACACTGTTTTAGTTCATGTTTGAGTAATGGTAGACGCGCATAAACTTTTGGGTGAGAGACCACAATTAAATTTTTACCATTTATTGACGTATGGATACGAATAATATCGTTCGAGTCTGATGCCATTCTTCAGAGCAGAGAATACGATCTGAAAACAATTAGATGAACTAAAGTGATACCTATGCTTTGTCTATCGCGAATACTACGCCATACTTCGTGAAAATTACTTATAAAGATCGATTGAATCCTATACATAGAAGCCACTTTAACTGGTAACAGCGAAGTATTCAGTCGAAAAAGCTATTAGTAAAAGCTCTGTGGGATTGATCTGTGAGACATGATGAAGACGCTTCAATTGTAGACAAAAATATGTTGCAGAGAAGGTTAAAAGTTAGGGCAATTTAAAATTCTCCTGGAAGAACTTAAAATTGTAATCTTCTCAAGGACAACTTCAAACAACAATTTATTCAACCTTTGTTCCATAGAAAATATTATACTTTACTTACATTCTCATCCCTTTGTGAACTTTGACGATGAAACTCGCGTGAAAATGAAGACGACACTTAAAGATAAGAGTAAACTAAGTAGTGCTTTTATCATAGGAAACGTTTCGAAAAACACTATTTGATATTGCCCTAGAGGAGATTAAAAATTCAAGTTTCCCTATGACAAATATTCTCGCTATGTCTATTGACCTATGATGCGGCATATGCAGAGTTTCAAGTAAGTCGAAGGAGCGTGAGAAGATGTTTACATTAATGTGGGCTTTCCTATGACCTCAGCACAAACGCAACAATCACCTGTGATGTCTATTATGTCTGTAGGATGGGGAAGAGGTCAACTGTCTTGGTATATTCTGCAACATTCATTAACAATTGTATTTTAGAAAACAATGCAGAATCAAACATTAGAGTAGAAAATCAATGAAAAAAAGTTCAAGTTTCTTTTTCTACAATGTAAATTCTGTTTGTCCATCTATTTGAGGGACCAGAATTAGGTAGGAGTGAGTGTAAGGTGAATATCTCAAGAACGGAGCCAGCTAGTAACTTGAGATTTCCGTCATTTGAAAGAGATGACCAGAAAATGCCTTCTTACAAGAGTTTAATAAGTTTTGTTAATCAGACAAGAAGCCTTCTACGTCGAACTGTCAAGATGTAGCATTAAACGGCATGGTGTTCAAGCTGGCTTTCAGATCAAACATTCCCAAAAAGGTCATAATATATCAAATCTAGAATGGTGTACAAGTTAGATGATTATATCTTGTTGTGATAGGATGATGAATAAGGCAAGTTGAATCAGAATATAGCCAGTTGATGAATAGATGTTGCCAGTGAAAGAAACCATATTGATGATATGAACACGCAGGCTATTGTTTGAAATTTGACTTAGGTAATATTCTGTCTTTCAAACAATACTCATTAGAATCCAATACGACGGTGCTCACCGACCATTTCTGTCGAATAACGAAAACTGAAGATCACTAGCTGCTTCTGGTCTTGAATTATTCTTCTTACACCTACACCTGTCCAATTCTACCACCAGCAATATCAAGTGGTAGAATTTTTTCTGTTGTGTTACTTATGTGAAAAAAAAAGAAAAAGAAAAAGAGAAATAAATGCATCACAGACGCTATAAACTATACAAATATTTATAATGATTTTATATTGGAATTTTTTAGCGTGTTGACTTTGGAACAATCCAAAAGTTCGGAGGGTAAGTTTAATCGATTAATCATGCTATCAAGTCCTTGACTCTTGACGTTTAAGAAAGGTAACTTCCTAGATAAATTACGTCAGGTATACACAAATAGTAACAGAACGAAAAAAAAAATATACCAGTCAAACGATTCATCGAATTACATGTCTAGCACGTATATCGAACATAGATGTCGATCAATTCTGACACAATTTGATTGAAGAGAAAAATTAAAAAAACTGTTGTACAACTAGCTTACTGTTCAGTGACCCTGATGAACTATGTTCTTGAGAAGTTTATCACCAAACTCTTGACGCCACATGTGTTCTTGCAGATCTAATTTAAGTAGTGATCCATGTGATCCGTGCTGCTTGTTTTTACTTACACTTTGCCTTCATCCATCTGTTTTCAAAATATTGTATGAACACCTGTAGTCAGATCGGCAAAGTTGATGGAATCATTCTGTAGGGTATGGTAGCCTGCCCATTCGATCGAGTGAGTAGTAGTGCCAGTAGATTTCGGCGGTTCCAAAAAAACAATGGAACCGGAACCCCCAAACTCTAAGTGCAAGCAAAAATGAACTTTTGTATGATCAGCAAGAGTGTTTGAGCATCTTGTTGAACTACGAGCATCAAACAACTTTTCTTTGAGATCATGCCAATCTGGGCAAGCACTTACCGTTAGGATTCTAGACACATCCACGATTGTATTTCCTCCTTCCGAAAGAACTCACATCGATCTGAACAATGTGACTAGAACACAAGCTCTTATCGAACTCTTGATCAAATATACGGCGCATAAGTCTCGACAAATACTTTCGCAACTAATCACTGTCGTACTGAAGTCGATCTCAAGTTCACGGCTGAATTTAACGATTCAATCTTCTTGCAGACTCAGGTGATAAATACACAGCAATGCCCAACTAGAAAAAATTCAACACATTTTTGATAGTCTCTGTACATTAATAACTCGAAAACTCTACGTTTATGATTCTACTACTAAGAACATAATATTGCAAGCAACAAGTTGTCATAAAACTATATATCACAACAGAAACTATAAACGTACGAAAAATGATCAAAAACAGAAAAACTATTGAGGAAATCGCCATTTTTAGGCATGAAACATATATTAAGGAGCTATGGAATGCCTATCGACACTTTCAAAAATTCTTTACATTTACACTTTTTCTCTACGTCTATGGCTTCAAACATACCATTGATGCTCCTCACCTTATGTAAAGTTTCATTTATATTAATATATAAAATGTACGCAGCGTGTGGATGTGGGCAGGTATGAGCATGAATGAGTGTAGATATGAGAATAGGTCTTCTCTTCAACCACACTAGTGTAACTGCACCCGCACGCGCATCCTATATCAAGAACTGCGGAGCTTTTTTGAAAACAGTCTTTTGATGCAGAGGTCAACACTGAAATTTCTTTAAATTCTACTTTGTTTATGTTGATAACTTTAGAAAATTTCCTAAAAACTTGAGTATTTTCGAGTAGATGGTTTCAATCACTTTAGTTGAAATTATGGTGACTTCCAAACTTTCTTACTGATACAATTTTGCTGTGAAAGCAGCTTCTTAATTTTTTTTGTTAGACTAATTTACTTTTTTTGAAAATTAGAATATTGTTGCAGTCGATAGATGTCATATGTGATGAAAATGAGATGAACTATACTTGACTTAGAAAAATTATTTAGCCGTATTATGTATCGATACTACTATTGAGGTAATAGATCATAAAGATCGTTTTTTCTGAGAAATACTCAAAGACTATCGGGGTATGCAATCGCACCTAGGTATTGCGATTGAAGTAGGTCAATTCTAGTGTTGACAATCGCTTTCCAATAAGGATTAATGCTCAAGCTAAGTATTTCGTCTGATAGGTTTCCTGATTTGTGGTGAAAATGAAAGTTCCATCAAAATGTTAATTACTGCTGTTGACAAGATCGATTATTTTAGTGATTAAGTGTTGCGACAGAAAGATAATAAGAAAAAAGTACGTATATCTCTTACGACTATTATATAAATTACCCTATTTTCTTTTCTATATGAAATCGCTCCATAACATTTATAGGTCATTACAGTCACGAATTCAATATTATGTGTTACTGCGTAACTCCTCAGAGAAGCAGAAAATGGTATAGTGTGCATCGTACTCGCGAGAGCAGCTCTTTTTTTCATTTTTACCGCATAGCCTGAGCCGATCACTCACCGTGCGACACCCAATCAAAGATAATTGTTTTATTCTCGTTCTCCTTTTTGGTAACAAGTACTATAGATGTAGAATGAATCAAATATAGAAAAGTTCTATTGAGCGTTAGAGCAAATATCTCTCTACAAAACAGTGTATTGAACATAAATACAAACTTTGAACGTCTGTCTAGAAATTTTATACAAAGTAAATTTTAAAAAAAGCATTGTTTATAATTACCATTAAAAGTTTCTCAAGTACAATTAAAATGTCTGAATGTTTTGAAAGAAAATGTTTTCATCATCTATGATAATAATTGACTTTTTTCAATTTTGAACAATATTTATGAAAGCTGTATTGCATCTTCATCCCTAAGCCAATAGATGAATATCTTAGATACGAAGGAAACCTCAAATTAATATGTGACTATGAGCTTCTTGTCTAATATTAGAGTCGTTTCAATGGACCTTTGATCTACAAACGTGGTATTTGCAAAAAATGAGTTCATGAATTTTTGAGTGAAATTTTGCTTGGAGATAACGTACAATGCAAAAGTAATGACACAAAATGCTGACTTCTATTTCTCTTCAATAGACGGGTGCTGAAAGAAAACTTTTTTCTTCCTAAAACAGAATTTTTTCTCCTCTTTCGAACGGTGTATGATTTATATTTGCACATATTCATAAATGAAATGAGACGAAGAAGAAAGAAAAAGACTCGCACAACACGTTTGCAATTTT